TTCTTTCTTTCTTTCTTTCTTTCTTTCTTTCTTTCTTTCTTTCTTTCTTTCTTTCTTTCTTTCTTTCTTTCTTTCCTACCTTACCTTACCTTACCTTACCTTACCTTACCTTACCTTTCTCTTTCTTCCCTATCCTTCTCCCTGTCATTTAGTTGACATATTACTTCATAATAAAATGATTTGATGTGACAGAAAGTTGTTACCAAATATTTTCATTGATCATTTTTAATTTTACTTATTAATAACAATAATTTCAGGTCAGTAAAAGTTACCTTTTCTATGAGAATATTTCCATGTCATTGTTATTTTCTTTTTGAACTGTTAAGATAAAAACACAATATTTTTCAGTTAATTTATATTGCTGTTTCTAGATAATAATGATAATAACATTTAAAAAGCTATTTAGTTTCAATCACTTTCTTTTTGCATTTATCCTTAGTGCCAGTAGTAAATTGCCAAAATAACCTTTGCTCAAATATAATAAGCTAATATTCTCCCCAAAAGAGACTAATCCTGCCCTCATAGTTTGTCTTCAGGAAGTAGTTCAAAGATAAAATTGTCTATCTGACACGGTTGAATGGAGAGCCAAGGGGATGTGCTGATGTTTAAATTACAAGATTGTTCTTACTCAGCAGCAAGTTATCAGTCAATAGTGTGTACAAAGTAATGATATGAATCTGGTTTCTAACTCCCATTCCATGCTATAAATCCTATATCTCTCTACTATTTGATTCCTGAAGCTTTATGGGGTGCAGTTATATTATAGGCTTGTTTGATGCCAATGTATTAGTTTCTTCATTTGACTGTATGTTAAGAACATCTGTAGAGTGGGATGGACAAGAGTTTCCCTGATGAAAGTTTCTGCCATCTGATTTATAACAAGCCAAGGTAACTTTCTTGTTATGACATTAACCTTAATTCTTACATCTGGAGGAGAAGCAACATCTTTATTTGGCAAAGGAGTGAGTTATCATCACCAGCAAGGTCCAACTACTTTATATGAATTCATCTTCCATAGGGCTTCACATGATTAAAAACAAAATGAGAGGACAAGCGTGCATACTGGATATCTGGCTTAGAGAGACACAATTTCTGATTTTTACACCATGCATTATAGCATAGTACAAGGCAAGAAGAATGCATTTCATTTTCCATTGTATGGTGGACTGAACCATCCTCTTCAAATCTATCAGTGGGCTTCGTTCCATGGAATTCTATATGCTGAAAAGCCATCATGATTCTTTACTGACCATGCAAAGAAGTATAATGCATAAATCATTAAAGAGATTTGTTGTTGTTTTTGCACAGTGAAGTATTTTACTGTACAATTAAGATCAAAGCAGAAGATATTTAGGCTGTAGCCAAGTTAGAAAGGAACCTTTTATCTGGGCTTCTGTAATCCTGAATAAACTGCATGTCGGTATTGCTGCAAGACAGGAGGAATGCGTGGCCTTCTAACTGGATTATAATTTTCTGATCCCTGGCATTGTTGGCAGGATCTCATGGAACTCAGAGTCTAACAGCATCTTCAGGGTTCTTTATTCTGCTCTTAAGTCGGGAGCTCACTTGTCTTCTGTGAACTGATTTCCCTGGCCCTTGCTTTATCATGTTTCATGGATGACACAATTAGCATGATTGGTTAGGTAGACATTTCCATTTGAATCCAGTATTTTCCAACAAATATGAGCAAAATGCCAAAGCTGTGTTTCAATCTGAGATTGGACACATACGGACTTCTTGCTGTGAATGACCACATTGAGGCTGATAAATGTTAGGGTCCAAAACCTTTGAGGGTGTCACAGGTTCTCCACATTTAATATAAGTTTCCACTTATGTTTCATTTTTACAAACAAGTAGATTTCAGGCGTGGTTTGCATGTTTGCTTAGGGTGCATGTTGTTTACTTCTTCATTAAACAAAAGCTAATGTAGCTGTTTCATTCAATCTTTCATTAGGTAATCAAAGATTACTTTGAGCAATAAATCTTTCATAAAATTATACTTCTTTCAGAGTGCCTTTTCCCCAGAATTAATAGTAAGGAGTTTTGCTTTTGTTTTGTTTTTTTAATTTCTTCACACTTGAG